GTTGAAAACCCTAAATACAAATATTCCGGGTTACAATCCCTTAGTTTCTAAACTAACAATTATATCTGATAGGAATAAAAATAATATTGATGGAGGAATTGCAATTTGGGTAGATGATCAACTAGAGTTTGAAGTACTTACTGATTTATCTTTTTTTGAAGAACATTTTTTTGAATCATGGTTCATTAAGATCCATGTCGAGAAAAATAAGTTTAAAATAATTTGTAATATTTATAGGCCACCAGGAAGTGATTTACCTAAATTCAAGGACAAGTTCATTAGGATTTTAGAAATTATAGAGCGAGACAAAGTTTTAAATAAATCAAGTAAAGTACTCGGCGATTTTAATGTTAATCTTTTGAACCATAGTTCTCATTCTGGAACATCGATTTTCCTAAATAATCTTCTTTCTAAGGGCTTACTTCCTTTGGTAACTTTTCCTATTAGAATATCACAAAATAGTTCAACTCTGAAAGCCAATATTTTTATAAAATAAAACAGATAACTTCTCAGAAAATGGACTTATTTATTCATGTATTTCCGACCATTTACCTTTCTTCAACATCAGAGAAGAAGTTAAACAAACTAATGATATGAAATTTAAAAATGTGCAAAAGTTTAACAAAGTAAAATAGAGAACTTCAAACAAAAATTGCTTACTTCTTAATGGAATGAAATATTATCTACTTTGGAGGATCTTGAACCTTGAATCAGGGAAATATGAAGACGTAGAAAGACTCCAGGATTTTAAGTACCTAGGAATCTTACAAAAGTATGGAGTCAACTCAACAATGGTATGCAATGCCGCAAATAAGTTAGAAAAGGCTAAGCTTTATCAAAGGAACATCTTGAGAATGAGACGACTAATACCAGATAGGATAGAGGTGTATCTAGCTATGTGGAACAATGTAGCTATCCCAAGTATCATATATGAACTGGAAGCTATTCCCTTTGATAAAAAACAAGAAGATGACCTGGAAGCTATTCAAATCACTCTTGGTAGAAGCATACTTGGAGTTAGGCATTCTACGCCGAGTCTAGTCATATATACAGAGCTAGGTTTAAAACCAATAAGTCTATTAATATCAGAGAGGAAAATAAGATATGTTCAGAATGTCCTAGAGAAAGATTCCCAAACTAGTGAATTAGTTAAACTATTAATGATACAAGAACTAGCTGAGAAAACATCCCCTTTCTACAAAGATTTAGCAAGACGAGTAGAACCCATAAACCAGAAGCCAGAAACAATAAGCTCTACATCAGTAGCTTTGCTGAAAGAACATACTATTCAGGAAATAATACACAAAGTCAATTCTTTAAAATCACTGGCAGCTCTACCAATACCTAAAGCATGGTGGAGGAAACAAGAGTACCTAAAAGATGAATCCTGGTCCCTAGCTTTAACTGAGTTTAGAGTAGGGAATGCCAAGCTGGGAAACAGGGATGATCATCTGAAGGATTTGGCAGTTTCAAATCATCAGGATAGGGTTGTAACATGTCCTTTGTGTCTAAAAGGGTCCAATAATGAAATTCATCTTCTTGTACAATGTACTGCTATGGTATATGTTAGAAAGTCACCTAATGTATCAGGAGAAGTCTCTCTGCAGTCTTGGATTGACACTAACAGGCAACTGGGAGAACAACCATCAACATTGTAAGGAAATTCCTTGGAGGCCAAAAAAACCTACCCTTGCAAGATTATGTGACACGAGGATATATACTGATTGAACTAAGGGACCAATTCTTCTCTAAAATCCATATGAGGCTGAACTAAAAGTAAGTTTAATTTAAGCAATTAAGTTTATGATTTACAAAATGCTGGCTAGAATACTGGTAATGCCTATAACTATTTTTTAATACATGTTTATTGTTTACCACTTAAATTCAAATTATACCTAACAACACTTTAGGTAAGTATATATTTATAAGTTTACACCTCAACTTCAAATTAACCTTTCTAATATTCTATACCTCATTTCCATTTCACATTAATCTAGGTTAAACCCAAAAAGGCCAACTAGGCGTTATACAACGAGGTTAGTGGTGTGCATAGTACTGCTATTGTGTACCCACTCACATCGAACTACCAGAGTAGTTTGTTGAACAAGCCATTATTATTTCGAATAAATTAAATCTTCATTTGGGAGAATTTTTGCGAGTCACCCTAATTGTATCTTATGTCTTATGTCTTATCTGATAATTATCCGAAAACTGCATTTGACATGTTTGATTCAAAACTTAATGATTACTTTAATTCTGTTTTCTCTTTAAAAAGAGTAAAATTATACCAAAAAAATAGTCCTCTATAAGAACCATGGATGTCAGATGCTTTATTATTATCAAGAACATCCAAAAACCAACTTGAGTCTAACAAGATTATGGTAAAGCCTATCTCACCGCACCACTTCCATTGGGATAGAATAAAATAAATTATGTTTTTTAAAATTTACCTATTATTTGCAGGAGTTTTTTCCATTATAATATAAGTTTTTTGATATTACCTAAAATACAATCCTCATATTCGTCTTTAATGATTAGCTCAGAGTGAAAATCAGGATCAAACACAGGTTTACTGTGTTCAACATCTTGTATACCTAGAAAATAACATTGGTTCGCTCTAGGGGTAAAGTCTTATGCTTATTATGCTCAATATATAAAACAATTCATAGTTTGTAAGAAAATGTAAAGCTTTCAATTAATTTCAAGTTTACCTTTTTTATCTGTATCCACATAACAGGTATCTTCTACTGCAGTAGAGGATGGTAGTATTTTTTCTTTGATGGAAACTTTCTCTTCTTTAATCTCAAACTCTTCTAAATCTAATTCTTCCTTCTGAGTCGCTGCCATTCTATATCTGAAAACTATAATTAATAAATCATGTTTTACAAAATATTTGGTTGTAAAGGTTATAGTTTTGAGAATTAAACTACTGAAATTCTATAAATTAATCAAGTACAAACAAAATTAAAAATACAAAACTTTAATGGAGGAAAGAAATACTAATAATAAGTATTATCAAAAGTTCTCCACAAGAATTGGATAAATTGCCTGAAGTGAAGATTTACCACTTTGTACTGGAATAGATCAGCTGATTTATGTGAAAAGATGCCGTGAACAGCTGATCATTTTCATGAAATACGACGACATTTTGACTTTTTTTAACATGATAAGGACGACATCTTAACTATCAGAGTAGATTGACTGATGAACACAGCTCCAATATCTCCAGAGTAGATTGACTGATGAACACAGCTCCAATATCTCCAGAGTAGATTGACTGATGAACACAGCTCCAATATCTCCCGAGTAGATTGACTGATGAACACAGCTCCAATATCTTCAGAGTAGATTGATTGATTGAACTCAGCTCCAATATCTCCAGAGTAGATTGATTGATTGAACACAGCTCCAATGTCACCAGAGTAAATTAACTGATTAAAGACAGCTCCAATATCCCCAGAGTAAATTAATTGAATGAACAGAGTTCTGATATCTTCAAAGAAAATTGATTCATTAAACACAGATCCAATATCTCCAGAGTAGATTGATTGAATATAGCTCCGATTTCTCCAGAACAGATTGATTAATTGAAGACAGCTCCAATATCTCCAGAGTAGATTGATTGATTGAAGACAGCTCCGATATCTCCAGAATAGATTGATTGATTAAAGACGGCTCCGATAAATTGTTTGATACAGCTCGTTGGAAAATTAAATTATATTTTTCAGATTAAAGAAAGAAAATAGCACTAAGGTGTAGTATAAACAGTTTAAAATTGGAATTTTTGTAACATAAAAATCTGTATTGTATCGAAATTAAAGGAAGCATTTAGTTTTTAGGATTAAATTAAATGTGTTAATTTACAAAACTAGGAAATCTATCACTATTAAAGTTTTTTATTTTTCAATCTTTATAACAAACTAACTTTGAATTACAAAGACAGCCAATAATTAATCTTAACATGCCTCTTTAAACTAAAATGGCAAAATACTCACATTCAGCATGTTTATATATATATTAAGGGTGAGAGATTTTTCACAAATTTGAAAGGAAACAATTTTAAGTAGTAAATGGCCTTTAGTGATAAAAAACGATAGTAAGTGTTTTTTTTCTTCTAAAAATATGGGCATCAAAACATTCGTCTTTCCAAGCCATATTCAACGGAAAAAACCGTTTTACAAAATAATGAAAAAAAGCTAAGTTGAAACTTAAAAACTATGGAAAATAGCTGATGCTTCTAGATCGCATGTTTTTGTAGTGTTCCTACAAACCATTTGCTCCGTTGAATTAGGCTTTGCAAGACAGACCCTTTGATACCCATATCGACATATTTTGAAAAAATTTAAAAATCACTTGTATAACCAGATTTTCGGCCACAAATAGCCATTTGCAATGGTCAGTTTTGATTTATTCGATGCTTTTGTAAATTCTGCTTAAAATAAAAAGTACAGTAATGTTTACTCCTTGATTTGTGTTTCATGAAAATGTTTCACCCTTAATATATATATATCCCCATTACTGTTTATTTTTAACATGAATCTTCAGATCATCTGCTGAACTTGCAGCTTACTCACATTCAGTGCGAGGATATCTCACTACGTCATGTTTACTTTTAACATGTCTCTTCATATAAATTGTTTGAGGAGCAACATATTCACATTGAGGGCAAGAATATCTCATTTCTTTGAGCTTAATTTCAAAATGTTGCTTTAGGTTACACCTGCTTTAGTAAAAATAAACTCACACTATGAGCAAGGATATTTCACTCTTTCATGTTTAATTTCAATATGATTCTTAAGAGCACTTGCTGTAGTTGCAGCATAGTCACATTGGGGGAACAGATATCTCACTCTTTCATGTTTACCTTTAACATGAGCCTTCAGATTGTTTGCTGTAGTTGCCACGTATTTACATTGAGAGCAAGGATATCTCACTCCTTCGTGTTTACTTACAATATGTTTCTTCAGGCTACTTGCTGTAGTAGCTGTATGCTCACATTGAGAACATGGATATCTTATTCCTTTATGTTCACTTTCAACATGAATCTTCAGATCACTTGCTTTAATTGCCGCATACTCACAATGAGAACAAGGATATCTTACTCCTTAGTGTTTAATTTTAATATGATTCTTCAGAGTACTTGCTGCAGTTGCAGCATAGTCAAATTGGGGGCACGGATATCTAATTCCTTCATGTTTAGTTTCAACATGAGTCTTCAGATGGATTGCTGTAGTTGCCGCGTATTTATATTGAGAGCACGGATATCTTACTCCTTCGTGTTTATATTCAATATGTACCTTCAGGTGACCTGCTCTAGTTGCAGCATAGTCACATTGGGGGCACGGATATCTTACTCCTTCATGTTTATTTTCAACATGAATCTTCAGGTTTTTTGCTGAAGTTGCAGCAAACTCACATTGAGAGCAGGGGTATCTCACTCCTTCATGTTTATTTTTAACATGTCTCTTCAGGTTTCTTGCTGAAGTTGCGACAAACTCACATTGAGGGCAGAGATATCTCACTCCTTCATGTTTACTTTCAACATGAGCCTTCAGATGGCTTGCTGTAGTTGCCGCGTATTTACATTGGGGGCACGGATATCTAACTCCTTCATGTTTACTTTTAACATGTCTCTTCAAATTACGTGCTGAAGTAGCAGTATGCTCACATTTAGAACATGGACATCCATCTTTACTCTTCTTGATTCTCTTTGGTTTAGGTTCAGAGTGCAGAGGATCAAATTCACGAAAACATCTGATTACTTTAATAAAGTATGACGACATTTTGACTTTTCTTTAACATGATAAAGACGACATCTAAACTATCAGAGTAGTTTGATTGATTAAACTCAACTTCAATGTCTACAGACTTAATTGATTGATTGAACAAAGCTTTGAGTCCCAAGAGTGAATTGATTGATCAAACAATGTTCAATTAAAAAAAAAAATGATTATGATTCCCAACCTAGGGAATATTATTTTCCAAAACTATGGAACCAACTAGATTTTCAAAACAAAACATATTTATAAAAATAAAACAAGAGATTGCTCCAGTGGAGAGTACCCAATATGATGCTTCAAACTTCAATCACCTGTGACATTCATGAACTAGAAATAACTGAAGAAAAACTAGAAATAACGAGTTTGTTCATGCATTGAACAATTTGGTATATCTGGAAGTTCTCCCCCCCCCCCTTTAAAACACAACAGTTGGGCCTGTTTTCTTAATAAACTACTGTTTACCTTGTATATCTAATTTTAAACATAAAAAACTTACAACCCCCCCCCCCCCCCAACCTCTTTCTCTCAGATAATGAAAATATGTTAAGTAATTAAGTCTTTGCCACAAATCCCAATTTTCATGATACCTATATCTCTAAAACTAGATGGCGTAAACCTTAGATATTTCAAATCAATCAATCAGAATTCATATCCTTAAATATCTAGGGTCTACAACATTAGGTTATAAAAATAAAGGAAATAAAAAATCAGAGTTTGTGGCAATGACTCAATTCTTTTGTCAAAATATGTAAATATGTAGGATTATCCATTCAACCTTGTATTTCTACTTTTCTACTTATTCAAAAACATGTATCCTCTACAGTAGAAATTATCTCAAACTTCTTGACATCTACGCCTTTATAATCTCTGCCATTCTATCTGTAAATGAAAACATGTCTATTCACTTGGGATAATTTAATTTATGTTTATATGTTTATGCTGTGATGTCTCCAAGGAACCTAAGGGTATTATTGGAGAATACAGATTATTGACAAACAACCTTTATTTGTAACGATAAATAATTTTTTTATGATTCATATCATTTTTACTTATAGATTTTTTAACACTTTTTTATTTCAGCTTTTACAGCTCTTTAAGAATTAAGTGATTTTGTTTATACCACAAGGTTAGAGCCAAATTATAGATACTACACAAATAATTATCATAATTATTTAAAACAAGTTTTCAAACATGAAATATAAAACTTCAGAAATAATTAAAATAAAAAATTGTGATACAATAAGAAAATGACATGAGTTTCAACATACCCCAAACCAAAAAATAAATGTTTAATAGTCACCAGTCAGGGAACATTTTTGTGCAATTCTTTTGCAGCCTGATGGCCATGAGAACAGAGATATCTGAACTCATTTATGTTTATTTTTTAAATGTTTTTTTCAGATTTCCTTTCTGAGTTGCAGCATATTTACATTTAGGACAAGGATATCTTACTCCTTAATCCTTATGTTTACTTTCAACATGAATCTTCAGGTTACTTGCATTAGTTGCAGCAAACTCACATTGAGGGCAAAGATATCTTACTCCTTTGTGCTTACTTTCAACATGAGCCTTCAAGTTACCTGCTGTGGTTGCCGAATACTCACATTGAGAGCAAGGATACCTCACTCCTTCATGTTTACTTTCAACATGAGCCTTCAGATGGCTTGCTGTAGTTGCCGCGTATTTACATTGAGAACAAGGATAGCACACTCCTTCGTGTTAATTTTCAACATGTCTCTTCAGACTACTTGTTGTAGTTGCTGCGTATTTACATTGAGAACAAAGATATCTCACTCCTTCGTGATTATTTTTAAAATGTCTCTTTAGATCTTTTGCTGTAGTAGCTGTAAGCTCTCATTGAGAACAAGGATATCTCACTCCTTCGTGTTTATATTCATTATGACTCTTTAGAGCACTTGCTGTAGTTGCAGCATAGACACATTGAGAACAAGGATATCTCACTCCTTCGTGTTTATTTTCAACATGTACCTTCAGGCTACTTGCTGTAGTTTCCAAATATTCACATTGAGAACAAGGATATCTCACTCCTTCGTGTTTATTTTTAACATGTACCTTCAGGCTACTTGCTGTAGTTGCCGAATTTTCACATTGAGAACAAGGATATCTCACTACTTTGTGTTTATCTTCAACATGTCTCTTCAGTTTACTTTCTGTAGTTTTGGCATACTGAGATACAGATCAAGAATATCTTTCTTGACTCTTCTTGATTTTCTTTGGTTCAGATTGCAGAGGATCAAAACCGTGATCCAGGTTTTCTCCTAAAATTTATTATAAAATATATAAATATGGGAATGATGCCAAAACAAAACACAATTGGAAATCTAAAAAAGACAGTTACACTTATTTGTAAAATTGTGAAAGACAGCATTCTGATATAAAAAGCCTTACGGAAGTGTCAACAGGACTATTATTCGATCTTAAATATGTTTAGGTAACTTTAACACCAACAAATAACTTTGTTTGTATATATTTGTCTCTGTGTATATATGTCTCTGTGTATATATCTCTCTGTGTATATATGTCTGTGTGTATATATGTCTCTGTGTATATATGTCTCTGTGTATATATGTCTGTGTGTATATATGTCTCTGTGTATATATGTCTCTGTGTATATATGTCTGTGTGTATATATGTCTCTGTTTATATATGTCTCTGTGTATATATGTCTCTGTGTATATATGTCTCTGTGTACCCAGTAAACCAGATATCGTCGCACGACAAGAAGGTTGCCATTTGGGCGTTTTTTCCACGTGGAGTCGACATGGAATCTGGTCGAAATAATTTCATAATTTTTTCGACCATGGACAACTATATATCGACATCATATAGACGTTGACATCTTAACCAAATATGCCCTAGAAACCAGCGAAGTCGCATGACCAGTCCCATTAGGTCAAGATAGGTCAGGTTAGGTCGGGTTACGTCAGATTACCAAATTGGTCGCAATATGACCAGTCCCTTTAGGTGGTCTTAGGTCAGGTTACGTCGGGTTACGTCAGATTACCAAACTGGTTGGAACATGATCAGTCCCCCTAGGTTGTGTTTGGTCAGGTTAGGTCGG